AAAAAAATTTAAAAATATTAATTAGAACAAAAGTTATTCTAAAAGTCAGTTCTATCTGTTACACCCTGTATGTCGAAAGCAGTAAAAAAAAAAATACTCGAAATATCGCAGGTGGCATATATACAGTACTTCCTATGCATGTATAATGTTAGGTATATATGCGATTATATTATATCATAATAATATGTATTTTATGCGTGTTGGTCGTCGACTGCTGCAGGAGCAGTCGGTTTCATGTTGAATTGCACTGCAATGAGGCGGATACATTTATATATATATAATACACGMGCTCGTGTATCGCTGCAGAATTATACCTATTATTATACACTGTATATCAATATAGATATTTCGCAAATTGACATAAGCAGCGTATAGATTTTATTTAAAATCAGGTGTCTTGTTTTTAAATTTTTCAGAACGGCGGCGGCTGAGTCTGTGCGTGGGCTGCGGCGGTGCGATCAACGACCAATACATACTGAAGGTCGCTCCGGACTTGGAGTGGCACGCGGCTTGCCTCAAGTGCGCCGAGTGCCATCAGTTTTTGGATGAACATTGTACCTGTTTCGTGAGGGACGGGAAAACCTACTGTAAATTAGATTATGTCAGGTAATAATCCTTGTGTACTATAATCATATAGTTGTAAAATTATACGTATTTTTTACGTATTTTTTACGATGCACACATAATATTATTTTAATTCATAAATAATAACTATTGTAACTTAGTGTTGTAGAATAAAGCGTACATCRCTGCATTACATAAAGATATTATAGGGACTATAATTTCAGATGTATGCGCCATCAATAATGCAATGTTTCGAGAATTTTCAAATATAGTTAATACAATAATTTAACTCGTTCATCACAAGTTTGCTAAAAATCTAAAACAGCTGACAACTGTGTTCAAAATATATCATCTTATATTTTATGTTATTATATATTTATGTAAATTATATAAATTATTATTATAAGTGTGTTAACTGCGATGCTTACCTATAAATATCGACGAAATAACTAAC